TTTATAGACAGATATAGCTGGGTATCATCAGCATAACAGTGGAAATTAATCCCATGCTGTCTAATAACTCTACCAATTGGGAGCATGTATAAAGTAAAGAGAATTGGTCCTAGCACTGATCCCTGTGGTACTCCACAGGTAACCTGTGAGCATGTGGAAGATTTGTCATTAACATGAACAAACTGAATTCGATCAGATAGATAAGATTTAAACCAGTCTAGTGCTGTTCCTTTAATTCCAACAAAATATTCAAGTCTTTCTAAAAGAATATTATGGTCAACTGTATCAAATGCAGCACTAAGATCTAACAGGACGAGCACAGATACAAGTCCATTATCTGAGGCCATGAGAATATCATTAGTGACTTTCACCAGAGCTGTTTCAGTGCTATGATGAGCTCTAAAGCCAGACTGAAACTCTTCAAAAAGTTCATTATGGTGTAAGTGATCGCAAACTTGTTTGGCAACTACTTTCTCAAGAATTTTGGATAAGAAAGGAAGATTGGATATAGGTCTATAATTAACCAAGTCATCTGGGTCAAGAGACGGTTTCTTAAGCAGAGGTTTAATTACAGCAACCTTAAAAGCTTTAGGTACATATCCCTGTAACAGAGATAGATTAATCACATCTAAAATGGAGGAGGAGATCAAAGGGAATACCTCCTTAAATAACCTGGTTGGAACTGGATCTAACATACAAGTTGAAGGCTTAGATGAAGACAATAATTTTGCTAATTCAGAAAGTTCAACTGGATCAAAGCAGTCTAAACCCGGTTCAGATTCCATGACTACCTCAGGTACAATCGCGGATAGAGGAGTGCTTATGATCTTATTTTTAATAAGATCAATCTTATTTATAAAGAATCCCATAAAATCATTGCTGCTAAGAGCAGGTGGAATGGACGGTTCAACAGAGCTATGGCTCTGGGTGAGTTTGGCAACTGTATTAAAAAGAAATCTAGGATTATTCTTATTCTCCTCTATTAATGAGGAGAAGTATGCTGCTCTTGCTTTACAAAGGGTCCTCTTATACAGCAGTAAACCATTTTTCCAGACTAGGAAGGACTCTCGCAGGCCTGTGGAGCGATATTTTCTCTCCAGTTTCCTAGCATTTTGCTTCAAAGTACGCAGCTCTGCATTAAACCAAGGAGCAAGCTTTCTATTTTTAACGGTTTTCATTTTCAAAGGAGCTGCGTTGTCTAAGGCAGTACGCAGAGAACTAGCCATATATATACAGGCTACAGGCTATAAAAAGCTCAAGATGTGCATATGTCAGCTGGGCTGTACAAGCCCTCAGATTTAAAAGCTTAATCAAGTCTTTTAGGCCTCATCTTTATAGAGGTCAAACACGTGCTATTTTAACACCTACCATTGTGAAAATGTTTACATGTCCAGTGACCATCATTCCCGTCTCCTCGTTATCCCCATTGACTCCATCTTCCCTTCGTTTTCCTACTGCGACCAGGTGTCAGGCTCAAAAATAAGAGGCAGCAGTTGCAGAACCTGTTCACTGACTGGATTCTATTTGTCATTGGTTGAAATAAGCTCACTTGACAAAGATTCAGAAGTATCTTCTATCGCTGTCAATTTCAGTGATTATATCCATCATGTTGGCTAGCCATTGTCCTGGAGTGACGTCACACTTCTGGGTTTAGAATGGGCAGAAAAGCGCAACCAGAAAAAAAAAAAAAAAAAGCTTGATTTAAAATCATTATTATCTGGATATCTAAAGACTCTAGTATTGCCGATAATAAACGACAGGAGTGCACTTTCAATAAAACCTTTAACCCCACCTTTAAAGTTCAGAGTCAGCCTGCCTCTTAGGATCTGTGATCTCCTTGGTAGAAGGTCCTGACCCAGCATCTGCGGACCTGTCTGTAACCGCCCGGCTACATGGATGAGCTGAAGATCAACAGCAGGATTTAAAGAGCCCGTCCGATCATGAATAAACGTTTAAGATTTTAGTGATCGATGTTTTAATATTGTTCCTTCATCTACATCAGGAAATAAGTGTTTTTCCACTTGATTCACTCACCTATGAGGAATCCTGCTGTCTGAGCAGCAGCCCCTCCCTGTCCTGAAAAAAAAACAAAAAAGCGGTTGGATAAAATGTATGAAGAGCGCCCTCTGTGGGATGCAGCTACATTAACCACGCTGCGCCTGCACTGTAAATAACACACCATTTTCTCCAATCAGGGAACCCTGATTTTACGTGAAGCTGAGTTAAAGGATTGTCCCTTGAAAATGAGACAAAGCGGCTCTTTCAGCAGCTAATCTGCACAGGACAGCAATTTTTTTATTTAGCTAATGTTAAAGTCTGACCATAAGTTTTTTGGGGCCTTGAGATGGCCCAGACTTTTTATTTATCAGATATGCTGAGATGTGCAGCACTCAGACAGGGAAATACAGCTCAGACAGCAAGGCCTTGAAGGTTTTTCTTTGGGTCTGGAAAAAAGCAGCTATATTTCAAACCAAATTAATACCTACATAGTTCTTAAGGCATAATTTCATCATGTATTTACCTATAAATGACTTGAATTGATTTAAAAAGCAGGAAATCAGATCTTTTAAAGGATAAAGAAGAACCTGAAAAAATTCCTAATGAGAAGAAGGTGAGATATCATCGAAACAAAACACTTGCTGTTTCAACAACTGGACCACCACGCTGGGTTAAGGCCGGGTTATATGCTGGCTGAGGCAGTGAGAGGTGATTCTCAGAGGGAAATCTTTGAAGTTTTGAATTTGTCTTATTTTTTCCCCAAAGAGAAAAAAAAAGAGTGATAAGCTGTGCTCATCTGCACCATGCACCCCTCCTCATTTTGTTATTTGATGAGGCTTAAACAGGATCACTATTTTGCTATATCCATTTTCTGTCCTCCTGAACTCCTATCATGTGTAAAGTATTCTTTTTTTTTTTTTTTATGTTTCATTTTGTCCGGCCTACTTTATATTCGCTGTGCGACTCCAAAACTAACTGTATTTCCTTTTTGATTGACAGATTTATTTAGTATTTTCCCCCAAAGCGGATGTGTTTTAATTTGTAACCGCAACTTTCTGCCTGTCGGTGCCATGAAATTGCTGCGTAGTCGGACTAAAATAGACCTGTGGTCTATCTCAGTTTTAGCTACGCAAACCCACTTGCAGAAAATTGTGTTGGCTGTGTTAATCCCCACTGACTGTCAATGAGCGCTAAATGCGACCACCTCATCCAACAGGATTTTCTGTCAGATCGGATGCAAAATCGGATTTGGTGTGTTCAGGGCTTAAGTTGATTTTGAAACTAACTGCAAAGAGGGCCATTGTGGGTGGTTCTGGAATAGAAGCTACCCTGAGCCTCAGGACTCCCAGCTTTCTGTCCTCTGTAAGGATGATCAGATGGACCCCAAAAGGAGCTCTTCTGGATGAACCAATAATATTCGATCCCACCCAAATCTGACTTTCCCAGTAGTGATCCAGCCCTCTTCTTTATATGCATTCCCTTTCATCCTATTTAAAGACATTAGAGTTTGTAGTTCACCAGTTAAGTTCCACATGAATCTTATGAATGAACAGTTCGGCTTCAGTCACCAACAACTTAGTTGTTAGAAATCCATTTTTATGCTTTTATTCTGTTTTATTTCCTGGTCAAGATAGAGGGAGGAGAGTTTAGCAGCTTCATTTTGGCAGAGAGGCCCCAATCTGTGGCTGGTATGAGTCCTTAAGAATGATTCTTTGGATAAAACCTGTTAATTAGGCTAAAATTAGATCTGGATGGTATCCGAGAATCTTAAGACTACAAGGTTTAATGATCATTTTAATTTGAATAAATCAAAATTTTTTGATCTGCTTTCATTGTCCCTGTGACCTGAGTGCTGCGAGTTTCTACTGGCTTTACTTACTGACACAATCTGCTGATGCTGAAGCCAGGTGTATAGAGCAGCCTTAGATAATGCAACATCTTTAACACAATGAAATAAAAAAGAAGAAGCTGAATAGAACGCTCAGCTTGGAGTTGTTGCTCTGGGAGAGACTTTTGGGTCGAAGGTTCTGTGGTGTTGAGCAATGAGCTGAAGCCTTGATCTATTTTTATGGCTAACTTCTAAATTTGACATTTATTGTGCTAAAATGCTTTCATATTCTGTTTTATTTTTTCATAATTTTGGTTTTGCTCAGGTTGCATGTGAAATCAAACAGTACAGAATTTAGAATTTAACTAGCCTAGAATACTGTGAGTAGACCAGGTCAATTTCTGGGTCCTTCTACTTCAGCAGTCAAATATTGTTGCTTTCCTTAACACCATGATTAAGCATTTTCAATTATTATAGCTGTAATAATTTTCTTCAAGGACTAAATCGCCTGAAATACTAAATGGTTGAGCCTGTACCAGTAAAACCTCAGGACAAAAAAATTAATGATTGACGGAACAATAAAAAAATCTTTCAATTTATAATAGTGAAACACACTATCAGTTGTTTACATTGTCAATGGTAAATTTATATATACAGCACATTTAACGCAGCTACTTCTGTCCAAAGGGATGCACAAAGCGAGCAACACAAAAATGTGAAATACACAAGATCAAATAACAATAATAACACAAAGTGGCTTATTGGTCAAATTGCAGATACATTTGCAGATCTTTTGCACAACAAGAAAACCAAATGTTATACTAACTAAAAATTGACACAAGGCGCAGCAGACACGCAAAAAAAACCAAAAACAACTGTAAGCGATTCAAAATTGAAATTAGGCAACATCAGGGTGAAGGGACCAGGATGCAGAGAAAAATATTGACCTACATAAGATTTGAATAGATTTAAGACAGTAACTTATATGCCAACATGATCCTCAAGACATAAAAGCAACATTTTGTGATTGATATGCTGATGGATTTATTGAAACATACTTTTTGTGAAACTAATATGATTAAAAAATCTCAACATTTCCATTTGCCTTTTATAAATTTATTTAATATTTAATATTTGTTGAAACCTTTATTTCTTGTGTTCTTTGTCTCCTCAGACCTCCACCAGTATTTTTATTTTATTTATTTATTTTTTTACTCAAGAGATTTCTCTAAAACCCAGAGAGGAAATCCATCTGAACCAGAAGAAACAACAACCCTCACCAGATGGACGAACAGGAGGATCCACATCTTCCAAATATCAAAGGGGAACAGGAGGAACTTCTGAATAAACAGCTAGAAAATGAACAACGTGCTGAGGATGTAAGGATAAAAGAGGAACTTGACCAATACTGCACCAGTCGGGATGAAGTCCAGCTCGTATTGAAGGAGGAAATGGACACATTGGTTATGAATCCTGCTTGTGAAGATGGAGACATCAGGAAACCAGAACTACATAGACACATACCCCAGAACTCTCTTGGGGCTGAAGACCAGGAAAAGGGACGAAAAAGAAAAAAGGCAGGACTGTGTAAAAGTCCCAAAACAAGGTCAAAGAGGACATGTCAGAAATCCAGAGCACAAACTGACGTTGCACATGGTTCCAAGAATAAAAAGCGTAAAACGTTTCACATCCAAACAGGACAAAACTTGTTTTCCTGTAAAGTTTGTGGGAAGAGTTTCACCCAGAGTAGCCATTTAAATAATCACATGAGATCTCATGCCAGTAAGACACAGCATCCATGTGAAGTCTGTGGTAAGTTTCTAAACGACAAAGGCAGTTTAACTGTTCACATGAGAATTCACACAGGTGAGAAGCCCTTCACATGTCCCACCTGTGGGAAAAGTTTTGGTGCACGAAGCAGCTTCATTGCCCATATGAGAACTCACACGGGTGAGAAGCCATTTCCCTGTCCGAGCTGTAAGAAATGCTTCATTGTAAAAAGTCATTTAATAACTCATATGAGAATCCACACAGGGGAGAAACCTTTCCAGTGTATTACCTGTGGGAAGAGTTTTGGAGCGAAAAGTAATTTAAATACTCACATGCGAACTCACACAGGAGAAAAACCTTTTTCATGCATTAGCTGTGGGAAAAGTTTCAGTGTTAGGAGTCACCTGATCACTCACTTGAGAACGCACACAGGTGAGAAACCATACCCCTGTTCTTACTGTGGAAGAAATTTTAGTTTGCGAAGCCACTTGAATGTTCATATGAGTACACACACAGGTGAAAAACCTTTTCCATGTGCCGCATGTGGGAAAAGCTTTAGAGTAAGGAGCAGTTTGACCATTCACATGAGAACGCACACTGACGAGAAGCTGCACAGTTGTGAAGTGTGTTGTAAAGGTTTTACTCAGAGTAGCCGTCTGGCTTCTCACATGAAGATTCACACAGGTGAGAGACCTTTTACATGTCTGAAATGTGGGAAAGGTTTCAGTACAAAATCATATCTGAATACACACATGAGAACTCACACAAAAGAGAAATCCTACCTGTGTGTAAGCTGTGGAAATAGTTTCAGTCGAAAAAGCAATTTAAACAGACACATGAGGACTCACACTGGCGAGAAACCATATGATTGTGAAGTATGTGGGAAATCCTTTGGCTGCAGCGGCAGCTTGACTGTTCATATGAGGTCTCACACTGGTGAGAAACCCTTCCCATGCGTAACCTGTGGGAAAAGTTTCAGTGTGAGAAGTTATCTGATAATTCACATGAGAACTCACACAGGTGAGAAGCCGTTCCCATGTGTTACTTGCCGAAAGAGCTTCCTATTGAGGAGCCATTTAACTCGTCACATGAGGGTTCACACCGGTGAGAAGCCGTTCCTTTGTAAAACCTGTGGAAAAGGTTTCAGTGTCAGGTGTCACATGATGGCTCACATGAAAACTCATAAAAGTGAGAAGGGTCTCTGATGAGTGGGCTGTGGGAAAGTAGTTCAAAGTAGTAGGACTATTAACCCTTTAAAGCCCGATCCAAGAATAAAACAAAACAGAAAATTACTTTTTTTTGGTTAGAAGTCCTTATTTGGTATTTTAACAAAATATGTAAAAAGAAAAAAACAGCAATACATTTGATATTAATAATTTATTACTATGCGATAAGTCAAGATTAATTTTTGTGTAGTCTTCTGCCCTCTGTTATCAGGTATATCTGATTGTGTACAATAGGATTTTGAGCAAAGTTTTTACCATTAAATTATGCAAAAGGTGTCAGACGCAAAACATTTCAGAAACCGTTTGTATCAAATATGATACATTTGGCATTACAGGGTTAAGCACACTATTAGGAAGTATAGGTTAGACTTTCAGTACTGATGTAAAATCTCAGAACAACTAAAGTCATCTCTTTTGTGACCTCTGACTTGGACAAATGAAATATGTTGGCTTCTTGACTAAAATGTAACCTTGTGAGGTTTGTAGTGATCTGGAAAGCAAAACCACATTAAAAATAATTTCACAGTTTGCTGTTTGGTTTTTCTAAAGTATTTCTAATAAAAAACCTTCACCTTAGTCTCTTTGTTATTCTGTATCATTTTTCTAGGGTTGTACGAATACATCTGTTCCTATGTCCTTTAAGGGCCTGATTCATTAAAGTATAAGGTTCAGGTACTGTTTATGTTCCCTATTGCCTGCCTGACCTCAGCATCAGATTCAGACAGGGTCCTAGGATGAATATAATGTTGCGTGAAAAAAGGTATTCAGCTATGCGGTCCAGTTAAATAAACAAGGTCAATGGATTTCACTCAGTCTACACTTTATTTCTTTGCAAAGAAAGAGAACAAGATGTTATGATGTCCAGCCCTGTTCTGACTAGACAAATTTTGTCTCACTAACTTAGTCTGGGAAAGCTGTGAAGGTTGTTGGAGCACAGGTAATCAAAACAAATTACACTTCGAGGAAACAGTAAAAACTTAGGAATAAACCTTGAGAAATAACCTGGTTTGTTATGGGAATGGTTGTTTCATGCCCCAAACAATTCTTCTCACTCAGACATTGTGGGGCATTGCAGGTGTAAAAGCTTGAGTAAACACTTTTATAAGTAAGAAAATAGAAATAAGAGCTCATTAATCAATACATGTAATGGAATTAATATGAAACAATTTAAAATTTCCGAACGAACACACCAATAGGATTTAGCGGATACATTTAATCTGCTGTCATTTTTCACCTTAAGATATAGAGCAAGTAGTAGTGTAGTTCAAGAAGCAGGTTTACTGAAAACTAACTTTTCTAAACTTGAAATCAGTGAAACTCTGAGTTTTCACAAAGAGTGTTTACTCATCCTCAGTTTCTGTTGCCGTAGTAACGCTCCCTAGAGCTAACCTGGTCAGGAGCAGTTTTTATTCAGGAGACTCAGTGTTCTCTATCTCTGCTTTCCTTGGAGCCAAACACTTTTATTTCCTGATATGGTCAGAGTTTTTTTCATATTTTTGTGCATACAATTAAAAATAAATAATTCACGGAGTATGTTAGACACAGTAGGTTTTACAAAATAACATAGCATTTATTTTTGATGAGGATCATATTAAAAATTATTGGCATTAATTTACAGAGAATGAATGCCTAACTTTCGTATTCAGAAAAATATTTTTATGTACCATTTCACCTTGTAATCCATTACATTCATCCATGACCTTATCCATCATCACATTTGCAGCATTACACAGACTTATTTACCAGAGCTTGATATCAGTGGGAGAACATTGGTGTGTGTAAAACAGCATTATAGAAAATAAAAATGCACAGTTAAACAGCACCAGTCCCATAGAATGGCTTCAGGGGTTTTCTCCTCTAGCTTCTAGTAGGCTTCTCATGGCTGATTAATATACAGCTTGTCACTGAAATTGCCAAACATTTTATTTACCTACTTTATAGATCTTATCTAGGACGGCCTTACGTTAACATATCACCACAATGATTGACAATTAGGAGGACCACTTATTTTGATGATCCACCTGGAAACAGAACATCCTCCACTATACCTTTAGGTTATTTTTTTATTGTTTTTTATGTAACCTTTATTTAACCAGAAAGTCCCATTGAGATTCAGAATCTCTTTTTCAAGAGAGACCTGGCCAAGTTAGCAGCCAAACCACAGGAAGTTCTTACATATTTACAACATATTACATTTTTCATAATAATAATAAAAAAAAATAAATAAATCAAAGCAGTATGTTAAAACACATTGAGCATCTCAAGAAAAACAAGCACATATCTCCATCACTACATTCTTCATGGTTGCTTTAAATTCATTAATGGACATTAGAGTTTCTAATTTGAGCTCTTTCTGGAGGTTATTCCATCCCCAAGGTGCAGAGTAGGAGAATGCAGTTTTTCCCAACTTAGTTGAAGCTCGGGGTACATTAAAAAGTAACCACTGAGAGGAGCGCAACTGATAACTACCAGAATTCACAGAGAGGAGGTTACAGAGGTACAGTGGGAGTTTACCAAGTAAGTACTAAGTTATGTGTAATAATGTGAAATGGCACAGGGAAAAAGGAAAGCAAAGACACCTGCTGAAAATCTCAGTAATTAGAAAGCAATCTCAGGCAGCATTTGATACTGTTGATCACTGGATTCTACTAGATTGGGTCAGCCTTTCTGGTGCTGCGCTGGACTGGTTTAAATCCTACCTGAAGGACAGGGACTTCTATTTGTTAGTAGGGATGTTTAAATCAGAGACCAGAAAACTTACATCTCCTACTCAACATCTACATGCTCCCTTCAGCTCAGATTATTGCAAACAAGATTCACTATGATAACTATACAGAAAACACGTAGCTTTACATCACAATGTCACCAGGTTACTATGAACCCATCACAGTGTTGGCTAGATGCTTAGAACCACAGGCGCAACTTTCTGAAGGACTGGTGTGGACGTGTCAAAACAAATAATCTCTGCCAAAGGTAACAGAGTTGAGTGTAGCTAACTGTGTTCAGAGCGTTTTGAGTCTGTTTTTTTTTCCTTTGTCGCCCTGCTCCGGTGTCCCGCCTCTTTGTATAACATCATCGGATCTGTCGCTTTGAGACATTTGATTTGCAGTCGAATTTCACAGACGTAAAGAGTAGCCACTACTCAGTGAATATTAACCGGCAGCTACTTCAACGTTTAAGTAAAAGTTAGGAGATGGGTTGGTTAAAAAAATTAGAGATCCTGCCATGGAACAATATGTTTGTTAAACATACGGAGCTTTTTCAGCCAAAAACGGCAACAGATTCTATGTTTATACAAGTTAGTATTATAATGCAAGAAGCTTGAGAAAACTGTATTTTTCTTATTTACTGGTTAAAAAAAGCTGGGCTTCTCAGAAGACTATGACTCCAAGTTACAGGTTAAAATGAACACATGTTTTCTTATTATACAGACAGAATCAGACTGCAGAGCTTCTACATATCATGAAATTTGGTTTCTGGCATCATCATATTAGTAAACTGGTTCATAAATCTGTTTTAAACAGAGTACAGAGAAGTATAAGTTTAGTTTTGAGGCGCAGCTGAAGCATCTTAACTGCTCTGGCTGCGCAGTGGAAAAAGTGGGTCTGATGCGCGTTGGGCGGAGCTACCCTATCTTTTCTTTGCCTGTAACAATGGCAGCTATATTTGCTGTGATCAGGGGGTAAAAAGTAGTTTGAATCTATTTTGAAGTGAGAAAGTCCACCCGAAAACATTGTCAGCGCAGTCAGTTCACCCAGATTACCATCCTGCCTTCAAATATTCTGTCAGAGCCGCTCAGAACCCTGTAACCCGGCGGTGCACTGTCACTAGGAATCCCATTCAACAGCAGCCTCTGGCCCAGTCGCCTCTTCAAGGTTTGCTGCGGCAGCTAGAAGGCATTTTTCATGTATGTAATCCAAACTGCAGGTACCAGGATAATAAAAGTGAACGTTTTGCCAGCAGATTTCGGATTCTTAAGTTAATCTAGGTGTTAAACTGTTTCAGAGAACTGATCATAGCGCTCTGCATCATCAGCGCTGTTCCTGCTGCTCTAGATGTGCTGCAGATAGCATGAGTTCATGTGTTTTCAAGGGGTGGTCTGAAGGGAGAGGCATGGTTGTGCATGTTCAAAAGTATAGCTCGCTGGAACCGTTTTTCCAAGATCTCCTCAAGCGTCGTTAACTGAGGTATCATTAAGTTTTATGGTCCAACTGTTTTATTTCATTTGCTTTAATACCTGATTCTAACGTTGTTTTTTTTTTTTATCTTTACTTGCTTTTATTTTGCTTCTATTTTACTGTTTCATTAATGCACAGCACTTTGAATTATCTCTGTACTGAATTGTGCTATATAAACGTGACATGCCTTGCCTTGTTTGTCCAACCATCTGAGACAGAAAATAACATTTAATACCGATATATACAAAGACAATAAGCTGTTAATATTGCACATATGTTGTTTATTTGTGTTTTTGAGAGGAACTCTAATTTCATGTTTCGACCGGACCCTTTCCGTGAAACACCCGGAGGAAGTAAACAAACAAGCTGTTAGCTGTTTTAGCTTCTTTGTTAGCATCCCCCCGATGTTCGGTGTGGTGGGATCCAGTCTGAGTCTGCGCAGCAACAATGTGTTCAGTTCAGCCTCTGAGAGAGTTTATCAGACAGAGACTAACTGCTGCTGCTGAAGAAATCTTCTCAGAGGTGGAAAAAACCATCATCCAGTACCAGGAGGAGATCGACCGTCAGCGCAGCTGGAGACCCCGAACTGAACAGAACCAAGCAGGTAGGTCCACATTTGGATTCTCAGGGACTGGGAAACCGAGTCAGGGAGGGGAGCTGATTTTTGGTCTAATTAATGCCACAGAAAAATAACCCCGATAAACAAGAAGGCTCCTCATCAATGCTCCAGTTTTTTCCACCTGTATGGATCTGATTTTTATAGGATTCGTACCGGTCTTTGCTCAAGTTTTCTTAAAAGTCGACATTTAGCTTTTGAAGAAGTCCTGAGATAATTGTAAATGACCTGAACTTCTATGTTCAAATTTAGGAAAATCAGATCTCCCAGTTTAAGGTCCAATATGGCTGCCATCAGATGTACAAAACAAAAAGAAATGTCCGGAATAAAACTTTTGTTTTAATTTTCTGGACATTATACCGTTAGATTAACGCTCTCTGTGTTTTGTTCCGTTTTTCTTTTTGCTGGACTCTGTATGAAATCACTAGTATAGAGAAAGTCATTGTTCTCAGCTGGTCTGCAGTGACACAGACTGGGTACGCTCGATTTTCTGCCTAGTGCAGAACAACATGCGCCGCCTGGGCGGGGTTTGATTTTTGTGAAAATGATTTATTTTTTTTAAATAATGGATAAAGTCGACAATTTGGGGGGGGGGGGGGGGGGGGGAATGCAGAGGCAGTTTGTTTCTAAAGGTTATTTCCATATTGGTCTCTCCTCTCAATCCAACCTGTAATTTAAAAGTTTTGGTTTTCCATCTTCCATCATGATCTACATACAGTTCAAACAACCAAGGAATGTAGGTTTAAAATAAAAAACAAGAAACAACCGCAATCAAATGAAAAGGAACGTATCAAAGAGGATAACTTCAGAAAGTTCAGGTGTTGAGTTGTTTGTAAAGAAGACTTTATTTTTTTTTCTTTTCTTTTTGTTCCTCATATGTTGTTTCCTACATTATGTTTTCCTTTTCTGCTCAACATCTCATTCCTCTCTAAGTTGGATAAGTTTACATCTTTGTCAACTTAGCCAAATCCTCTTTCTTTAATTTTTTAAATCCCTTTTCATAAAGGGAGGGCTTTCTCGTGTCTTCTCTTAATGTGTCAAAGATCTGACAATGCTTTGTTTTTTGTGGTGTAAAAAAAAAATGCTTTGGCAGATCGACTGTTTAGGAATCCTTATGACCGCTCCACACCTGCCTTGGAGGGTTGCACTTTCCCCTTGCAGGTAGTCTATGTTCTTCTGCATTGCAGACATGGTATGAAGCAGGCGGTCTCCTTGGATAACAATACATATGTTATTTAAAGGTGCATAGTGACGTTATATGACTTCTGATTTGTACACAAGTAGCTTGTAAACAGTGGTGTCAAAAGTACAGACTTTTCTTACTTAAGTAGAAGTATAGATACTGCAGTTTAAAAACACTCTGGTAAAAGTTGATGTATCAACTTGACCTCTTTACTCAAGTACAAGTGAAAAATTATGTGCTCCAAAAACTACTTAAAGTATAAAAGTATAAAGTAACCTTAAAAAAAACTGCCAGGTGCCACTATATGAACAGAAAGCTTCATTTTTTGACTATTTGGAAAAATTCTTTGAGATAGGGCCAAGGATGAGGGAGGTCTTGTTGGTCTCCATCTCCCGATACGCTCTCCCCTGTGCCCGACCTTTTAGACATTTCAACATCTTTTTCTGAATCCGACATTGTAGCATGGCATAGACAATAAACGTTTGGAGTTTGAAGAACACCTGCTTGCTTCTGATGATTTCCTTAATCTAAACAATGAGTGTTTGCGTTATATGACTCATCAAATTACACTAGTTTTCACTAGATGTGGATGGAGCCAATGATCTGCATTGGATGGCGCACATGACGGGACATATATATTTATAAACATAAACCGAAGCCAAGATTAACGAGTAACGTTTGTTTTAAAAATGTAAGGAATAGAAAGTACAGATACTTGTGTGAAAATGTAATGAGTAGAAGTCAGAAGTAGGAAGAAAAATAAGTAATGGAGTAAAGTATAGATACCTAAAAAGTGTACAGAAGTACAGTAACAAAGTATTTGTACTTCATTACTTGACACCTCTGCTCGTAAACAAAGTTTTTCTGAAAGGTTATTGTGTCTCACTGTTATTTTTTTGTTTATTATGTTTTATTTTTGTTGAATTTGTTAGTAAATAAAAAAATCCCTTTCTTTATATTTACCGTAAAAAACAAAAAAACAAAAAAAAAAACAACGTGAGCAGAGATATGTCATTACAAATAATTGGCAAACAAGCTAAAGCAAAAGAGGTAACTGAGAGTGGAACTCCCTGTGGAGATGAAAACATAAAGCAGAAATGTCCAAGTAGAGTTAAAAGGGAAGAATATTCTACTGTATTTGATTCGAGGGGTAATAAGTTTGGTGCGGCGTTTGAAGAAGAACAGCTAAAGCTGCTGAGGCCTTTAGTTAAGGGGTTAATGAGTAAACATCCTTATTATTATACTATTGAGAGTGATCCTATGATTCAGTTTCAGTCTAAATAAAAACAATATTAGATGTTGATTATTGGATTGACTGAAATAAACAGACCTGGGAGCAGTTTCATTTCTGGTCTCGTTAACATTGGACTCAGTAGATAATGGCAATTTTATGCATTTAATTTGGGTTCATTCTAATGTAAACGTTTTAGCTTATGACTTATCTATAATGATGTAATTGAAATATCTTACCTTTATGCTGTGTACTGTATGCATTTGGTAGGAACATGAATGTTCTTTCTCCATGATCTTGTGATAGGAGGCTGTGGGGAGAATTTGCTAGAACGTGGAGACGCTGTAGATGAAATCCATCCTCCAACACGGCACGCTGTCGCTTTCCCACCAGGCACTGCAGGACGGTCGGCTCGGTTGGACTCTGGTAAGTAGCCGCCTCAGTTGTCGCCGTCTAACTTTCTGATAGTTCACAGCAAAGATAGGAGTCGGTGGTGTTGGTTTCCAAATTAAGTCAAATTAAGTCAAGACAACCACCTGCTGTGCGGGTGCCACCCCAGTCAGTCAGCAGGGCAATCAATTTAGTTTTCTTCAGTGAAGAACACTGACTTTGAGAGAACTGACTGACAGCTGCTCTCCTCCAGATGGAGGACACAGAGACAGGTGCATCACCAGCCTTTGCTAAGAGTTCCCTGATGTAGGAAACCGTCCTGCTTCCATTGTTTCTTATCAATATTTTGATATAATTTTTCTGTTTTTCTTTTATTCCAGGTCTTCGCTATGATCATCTCTGTGAGGATGACAGCTGCAATGAGCAGCAGCTCTTTACCCGCAGGGTCCAGGAGGAATTGGGAACTCTACAAGAAGAACTGCAACTTCCAGAGATTAAAAAGAAGAAAAGGAAGCAACCACAAGCTCCAGAGGTTAAAGAAGAACATGAAGAACTATCTATCAGTCAGGACGCTGAGCAGCTGCTTCTGAAGCAGGAGACAGAAACACTAATGGTGACCGTTGATTATGAGGAAGCTGGCAACAGTGAACCAGAACCAAATGGTGAACAACTTCTCCCTCAGAGATCTCCGAAAGCTGAGAATCAAGAGTCGGGATCGAGCAGGTCTGAAGAGCCAGAAACAAACCGTCCATCAATACAGAGTCAATATGACCAAAATACAAACAAAACTTTATTCAAATGTGATTTCTGTGATAAAGAATTTAGGTTTCAATATGCAATGAGAAGGCATCGGAAAATCCATACAGGGGAAAAGCCATTCTCATGCAAAACATGTGGGAAGAGTTTCATCAGAAAATTTGCTTTACTGACCCACATGAGGGTCCACACCGGGGAGAAGCCGTACTCATGCACCATCTGTGGTAAATGTTTCCGATGCAGCAGCGACTTGTCGAAGCACACAAACATCCACTCCAGTGAGAAACCATATTCCTGTGAAACCTGTCTAAAGAGCTTCACTACGAAGCGCAGCTTGATCCTTCACAGAAGATGTCATTCTGAGGAAAGGCCCTACTTCTGTCCCACATGTCACAAAGGTTTCAGGAGAAGCGACAACCTTTCAGTCCACATGAGAACTCACATGGATGAGAAGCTGTTCACGTGTGAGTTTTGTGGCAAAAGTTTTAATCAAAACGTGCATCTGGTGATCCACAGGAGAACACACACAGGGGAGAGCCCGTACCCCTGCAACCAGTGTGAGAAAAGATTTAAAAACAGATCAGCTTTGAACAGCCACCTCAGACTGCACACTGAAAACCCACTTTAGAGCTTCATAATTCTAATTATGATAATTAATAATTAGAATTAATGATTCTTATGATTTTCAGGAAGGAGCAGCTTTCTCCCTTGTTCAGAACAGGAGTTCTGGTGATTGGTGCAATTAGATTTTCTAAAAGGAATTTTTTTATTATCTTTAACCTTTTGTGTCCTTTAAGTTTTTCTGTGGCGGTGAAAAGCGAAAATCTGCATGAACAAACTTGTCTTTGTCTGTATGGTGACTAGGGGAGCTATAGGAGGGCTATTTTCCTACCTTCTCCGCTTACTCTGCCTGCAGCTGATGCTAAGCTAGCTAACCTGTAGCTGAATGTTTGAACTCAAGAGTAGGCTATTTTTGCCCTGTCCCAATAGTCACACTCCCGACCTCGTGTCCCACTGTTGCAGATTCCCGCTGAGGGTTTGCAGTATCTAGGGTGTCCTAATTCTCTAGAGCGCTCTGTTGTGATGCCCCCTATGCCTAATTGGTCCACACCAGATTAAGGCACACTTCAAAACAGACTTCAGTGAAGTGTACCCACAATTCATTGCTGCTTACATTTTTGAAATAAACAGCAGAGATGTGGGGATTTTCACCGGCCCAGCTCCAGTGCTTGTTACAAAAAAAATAAGTTCTTCAAATGTAAAGATTGAGATTATTGACTTTGTACTGCACTCTACATATGGGAATAGCATGGAGATTTTGCTCTGTATTCAACAAGTGAAAAACAAAGCAGCCACATATCTGGGGCCATTGCTTTAGAATCTATAAAGGCTCATATTGTACATGTAAAACCACGCTACCACGTTCTTAAAATGTACACTATAATTGGCGTATGTCAAATTCACTCATTTTCACGGTCGGATGAGAGGACTTTCATGCTGTACCATTTCAACAGATTTTCATGCTTGTAACCTGTGTACTCTAACCCTTTAGTGCACTTCCACCAGGTTTACACTTCAGAGGAGTGTAGGGTGTAGTGTGAGTATTGAGACAAGGACATTGTGGCCTAATCCCCAACCGCTTCCTAAGCACTAACCCTTAACCAGCCACCCCTCATGGTCCCACCAATCATCCAGCACACATGTTGTGCCTTCTCTTGTCCTTATAGTGAAAAAATTAAATAAAACTACAGGGTTTGGGATGACCCTCAATCTGGTGCACCCTCTGTGAGAACACGTAAACTGAGGGTTAGTGTTTAGTGATAGTGTTTAAGGGGGGATTGGGATTGGGCCTGTTTTTTTTTTTACTTAGATTTGTCGGAGCCGTAATTACGTTCCGCTCACAGAAAACCTGCAGGGCAGGGTTTGACATGCGTCGGGATGTATGAAATAAATGGTGCATGAAAATGTTGTTCGTCATGCAAACTTTTAACTGACAATAATAAATTAAAAACTGATTATGTGATTCCATTTGTTTGTTTTCGACTCGAGGACTCCTGTACCTGATGCTTTTTCATGAGTTTGAGCTTTTATGAGTTAAACCTGAAAGATGACACTGATTCACATTTAGCTTCAAATATTAAATGTAACGCACCATAATAAATGAGGGAAACAACCTCAAACTGATCTGAACTGTAATTATTCATCTGTTTGTCACATTTATGAGAGTAAACCAAGAGTAAGAAAAAAAACCCTCATATTTCAGATAAGCGGTTAATTTCTTAACAAACCAGGGAGATAATATCTTGGGTGTATAAACTTAAAACCATCTCTGTAAAGTTGAGTGTTACGTAGCTATAAGAGAAGTCAGACACAGCGTGTTTTCAGAGGTCCTACTAACCTACTGGAACATGATGGGGGCGGGCTAATTGGCAGGTCTAGGGTTTTCAGGCTAATTTTGGAGCATTACACGGAACTAGCCCTAGTATTTCAGTGAAATCAAATTCAAGTTCTCAACATGTTGCACTCTTTGCAACCAGAGCTTTTAAGAGGGAGCTGGCTGACAGTTTCTGTTATTGCTAAGCTGTGTCATACTAGCCATATGAACATACATGGCCTCATCTGTATGTTAGGTTGGAGTAGCCGATTTCCAGCCGAAGATCAAAACTCTGCATTCAGACTGCAGTAGAGTTACATTTTTATTATTAATACATGTTTTCGGCTTCAAAGGTAATGTAGATCATTTGAAGAATTTAAAATGGACCTACTTCTCATAGTCTTCCTAACAGAAAATATTAGGCTGTGATGGATTTTAAACAGCAGGCGTTTGGACCTGTAACACCTTTTAAAATCACACTAGTTGAGTCGACAAAATTTTTTTTAGTCACTGCTGTCACTCTGCTGTAATTCATTTAAATGTCCTTCATGGCGTAGACCATGCTTCTCTGTGACAGCCCTGTTACCATGGTTATTTTGGCAGGTGTTGCAAGGTATTTATACCTCCTTGTGAGTTGGGGACCAGGTGGTGAAAGCAATTCCTGCAATTGAATCTGACTCGCCACAGATTAGGATGTTCAAAGGAGAGGTGAGCAACACCAGGATCTTGTTTTTATGCTGCAGGTTTCCCCATTTCTCCCAGCTTTAATCTGAAACCTTCACTCTTTGTCCACGCAAGGTCTCTGGTCTGACCTCCCTCACCCTGGTCTCTGTGTGGGAAACGTTTAAGGATGAAAAAATGCCAAAAATGTCTTAACAAACACATACGGGATCCTCTGATTAATGGATAATTTAATTTGCATATAAACTAAGCATAACTAGCGAGTTGATTTCTACCATTTAGCATCAAGATCGGGCTGCAGCTTTAAGTTTGATTCAAATGACTGCATCAGATTTAAAGTTCCTGATGATCCTCAACTGTTACTCCTACATCAGAAAGTAAATGTTCATATTATTTTAAACATGGGTGGATGCTGGTTTTGCATTTGAATTATGAATTTATCAAGTCAAATGAAGGCCTTATTGTTCAGCACGCAGAAACACTTTTCAGTAAAATTATGATAAACTAACTTTAATAGAACTACTATGTACTAGCTGTGTGTATGTTTAGGATTTTCTGTTTTAAATTTGATACTTGCCATTTGAATGTGATAAAACAAAAAGTTCTAGTTCAGCAGCGCCCCCTATCATTACTTTTAAGGAGCTATTCTTAAGGTGCAGACGCTGAAAAAGTATAATCAAACCTTTCTTTACAAACAGAAAAGCGGTTTTGATTTAAACGGTACATTTTTTTTTATGTTAATCAATTGGTGATAGAGGGAGAAATGTTTGAATCTTTATTTATATAGCACCAATTCACAGCAGATATCGTCTCAAGGCACTTTACAGAGACAATTCATCCAGATCATACAGTCATATTGGTTCAAAGTTTTCTATAAGGAAAACCAGCTTATTGCATCAACTTATTGCCTCGCAAGGAATTTGGGGCCCCATGAAAGACATTTATTTGGACATATTTGGCCCTCCGCCAAAAACAAAATGCATGGAAGCTTTAAAACCTCTATAAAGATGCCCTGAAGAGTATCATTTACATTTCCAATGTAATTGTTACTTTAAAATTTCTACAAAGGAAAATTATCAGAATGTTATTTATGATAACATCCTATACTAATAAACATAATTATCAGAAGTTAAATATACATTAACTTTAAACTTTACATTTACATCCTATCAAAATAATAACAGCTCTTTTAAAACAAAAACAGCTGTATCTATGTACACATGAAAAGAAAAGAGGTTTAGGATTGTGAAAATATATTCCTATTAGGCTTTACTAAAACTTTATTAAGGGACAGATTATTTTTATACTCCACGTGAGAATTTGTTTTTTATTCATGTAAATGTTTAATGACAAAACATGTATTTTTGTTGTGGCTGCTTTAGGCTGCTCATGAGAGATCGTGATTTATAAATGTCTTTTAATGGTTGTAATTTCATTTGAATATAAAAATGTAAACTTTTTAAATATCGACAGAGATTTTAATACAGGCTGCAGGAGGCTACCCAATAGACTTCAGCTGTCCAGGATACAGTATAAACAACTGGAGGCCATTTCATTTTATAGTTATCATTTAGAGAAAAAAATGTTTTTCAATTCTTATATATATATATTAAAAGATTCATTAAATTTTTTGGGGATGGTAGAAAGAAGGAAATTCCCACAGACTCTGTACTGATGCTACCTGCCTGTCCCTTAACACAATGTTATGTTGCTCAGTTCCTGAGCTACTGATGTTAAAGATTTAAAGAAAATAATTTGTTAATCATTTTCTAGTTTTTATTTCCACTTAGTTCAAATAATAGGTTTTCAAGGTTCAGCTTAAAAAAATCCTTTCAAACCTGGATTTAGCAACTTTTGCTGAAGATTCTTGGTGTTTATTTGTCTGGAACTTAGAGGCTTCAACCTTGAAGCAGAGTCCCACTAACAATGGCGTTAATTCCTCACCAAGACAAAGGAACCGTTCCAGGGACCAGGCTCAGGAAGAGGAAGGTTTGGCTGCTGCCTAGATCAGGTCCTATGAGGGAGTATGGGAGAGACTAGGAACAAGAACTTGGACAAAAACTTAAGGATTTGGAATAATGCCTGAAATTCCTCATGGAGCGGGATCCTGGACTCCGGAGTTCCCCTCCGTCCAGATGTCCCCTGCTGACGGAGGACATCTAGGAGGAGGGGAACTGTACTGAAAGGTTCTTCTGGTTTTGGGTTGTGTTGTTTAATTACACTGTTAAAGGCAATCAGATGAATTTTGGTTCCAGGAACTACTTTTCGATTATTGACCCAGATGTAGAAAGTTTCCAGGATGATCAGAACCAAATCATTGGACTTGGTTCAGGTCACAGTTTTATGGTTTTAATGGTCAAGGGTTTGCAGAGCGATTCTTTTTAATATAGGTCTGCATTATTTTGAGGCAAAGCATTATGGTGGAAGCAGGAGGATCAGGCCTCAGATTAAAAAAGACTTTCTGTTTCATTTTTAACTACTTCCTTTTTTTGGGCTGTTCTTGGTTTTTTTCTTGTAACTATGGAGTAAAAATAAAGCAAATGAGTCAGAAACCGGATCGTAGTCTGTCAAAACATCACAGCATTACATCATTGGTTCATATCAGTGAAATTATTTCTTCACACGCAGAGATAAAACATACAGACTTAAACCCAAGAACAGGTCAAAAAAACAATGTATGTTTACGGTTCTATTTATTATCTAAACTCCCTTTTGCACAAATAACTGTACTTTCAATTATATATCTTGAGAATATAAGCTCTCTGATAATATTTAAGATGCAGCTGGGGAAGCTCCTTTACTCCTGGAGGTATTTATTTGCCCCAAATGTTGCCTGTCTCCATCCGCTTGAACAGAAATAAAACAATCCTCATTCAATAGGCTCCTGTTCTAATAAAACATCCATTTGATTAAAAATGATCAAAGCAAAACAGAAAGTTAAGGCAGAAGGTAAATCATTTCATAATTTTTTCCCCCACAAAAGGTTAAAAGTGAAAATGAACATGAGAAAAAAAAGCGAGACAGTTAATGAAAAAGTATGTTAAGGTAAAAAGTGACAAATGTTCAAGGTAAAAGAACCGCGTCTGGTGTACAGGACGATGGGAAAACTGCAGGGCTTCATAGTAGTGCAGTTGTAGCCCTACTGCCTTGTGTCATACTCTGTGGTTTAGGTGCAGGTCTGTTTTTTCTTTCTCTACCTCCTCTGCAGGGCTGGATGGGCAGGTGCGTTCAATCAGAGCTAATTACCACCCTTCATAAGGAGCTGGAACCAGGAGGAGGGTGTCAGGGTGGCTCTTAGACCGGTGCCAACAGGAAGTCAACATTTCGGCTTTCAGCGGGCGAGCGGCCAGGGAAAGACACGCCTGGCATGTGAGGAGAGTCAGCGGTCTAGAGATTGTTTGGCGAGTAATATGTTGAATTTAAAGGTGGTTTTGGCATAATCTGGTTTGTGAGTGGATCAAGACAATGGCTGGTTGTAGTGGGGGGTGTTCGGAAGATGAAAATATGGATACAGAATGGTCTAGGGTAGGAAATAGAAGAGAGGGAAGAGATAAAATTAAAAAGGGATTAAATGTTGGAAAAAGATCTCTTGAGGATGAGGAAGAACGAATTGAGACAAGAAAGAAAATTATGATGGAAGACTGTAAAGTCATATTGAAATTTAAGGCTGGACAGGATATGAGTGGAGTAAGTCCTATCACCTTATCGAATGGACTAAAGAAATTTGTTGGAGACGTGGAGTTAGCTAAAATCCTGAGGGATGGAAGCTTACTTATCATTTGTAAAAATGCAGAACAAAAGAACAAGGCCCTAAAATTACAAATGGTGTGTAAAAGGGAAGTGATAGAAAGAAAGGTAGTTGGGGAGGAAAGAGGAGTGAAAGGAGTAATATCAGGGATTCCGGTAGGAGAAAACTTGGAGGAGCTAAAGAAAACAATAAGAGGAGGAGAGATTATGGGCATCAAACG